AAAATGTAGCAATTATTAATAATATAGAAATATTAAAATAGTCTAACATTAAGAAAAATATAAAGCAATGGATGATAAAACATCTTACATAAAGCAAGATCTGAGTGAAGGATATTAATAAACAATGTTTTAGACATTGCTCTCTTAAGAAAGAATGCAAACTTTAAATTATTAATGTATACTTTGAAAGAAGGTGTTATCTGCTACTATGTACATAATTATTTTAAAATTTGAATAATTCATTAACCAGTATCAGAAAAATGGGAAGCAAATTTGTGTAAAAAAGAATGTTGGAAATATATTTAGAAGCATATACAGGAAATATGACTTATTGGTCTATTTTAATGAATTAGTTTGCTGATGGCTTCTGACTCCACAAAGATAAACATTATCTTGGAGGAAATGACTAATATTCATCATTTTATAATATCATATATAGCATATTCATGTATGATGCATGAATACATGTGTGATTTTAAATGAAATCAAATACACTCTATATCATTATGTATCAATCATATACTGTTGTAGTTTTATTTTTGTTAAAGAGATGAATTATGACTAAGAATTGATTCCATACTTATTAATAGGTCTTATTAATGAGGGGAAAATCTATTTCTTTTTGTTTGTTAAATAAAACAATAGAACTTAGAATATGGGATGTTGAAAAATATAGTAAGACTCAAGGGGGCAGAAACAATAGTTTCCACCTGTTTCTTACTTTGATCATAGACTGATGTAGTATCAAGCTATTTGCTTGTGACTATCTGAGAACTGCTGAAAAATAAATCTGCTCTGAAAGTAAAGTTCATTTGTCCTTGCTCAGGAAGCTACAATTAAGCTCAGACTTGAGAACTGGATCTATTCCACTTCAGAGCTTGACACTTTGTTCATGTTATTTGAAGGCACAGCATGTAGGTTTAGGAATGTACTAATTAGCCACTCCTAATTCCTGTTCACAACATGGTCACTGTGACATAGATCAAGAGCTGTTAAGGATTGGGGTCTTGAAAAATGGAAGGGTTCCCATAGTGATAGGCAAAGCACAATACTGCTGGTTGGGCAATTTGAAACCAAGAATTATAGAGCCATCTGTAACAATAAATGTCAGTGTTGATGATAAATCATGCTACTTACAAGAACAGTTTATTTGAGACAACTGTCATATCATTGATCTTCAAAATTGATTTGGACCATTTGTCTGCCCAAGCATGACCTCCTTGCCTAGCCACACACTAAGTAGAATAGGATGACTATCCTAGGTAGGAAAATACCAGTTTTCAATCAATGGTACTGTTTTAATTTTGATCAAAAATGAAAGTTATTGAGTAGCTTACATTCTATATTAGACATTAATTTAATGGAAATGTAAGGAAGATTTTCTGAAGAAATGAAATCTGTTCAAGATTTCAAGAGGTTGTTTAAACACTAAAACTAGGTAAATAAGTTCTTTTAATTATCACTATAATGTCTTATTGTGATTCCAGTTTTGTATTGTCTACAGTCTCTTGTGCTCTGTAAAATCCCACATGCATTAAACAAAATATTTTCAAATAGTTAATGCTTATTTTCCACTTTTATAGTACATTTTAAATTACATGCTGTGTGTAATTTGCTTGATTGAGTCTTTTCAGCCATTTCTATATGTGTTCATTCTGTGCCCTATTCTTTTTCATTTCTTAGGTTTTTCTGCTTCTCAACCCATTTTTCGAGCCATTTCTTTTGTAAAATATTTTGGTTGCTTCACTTTGCTTTAGGAGGTAGCTGTTCTTCTATTCCCTATCTTTTCCATGATATGCAGAAGGACAACTTGATAAGAAGGATAGTTAGGAGATAGGAAATTCATTTCAGGAATTAAAATTCAGCATGTTTAGAAATTCAAGATATTTATTTCACAAAGCTTTTAATTGTTTCTTGACGTTAGTATTCTGTTTAATGTATTTTTAAATTTTATTATTTTAAATTTTTATTATTTGTTTACTCATCAGAGTATAAAGGTGAGGTAAATATAAAAAAACATGGCTTGATAAGCGTTCTTCTACCTGCTGCACTACAGAAGTGCTAAAACTATAGTGACTAGATCCTTGATAATTTCAGAACGAAAAGTATAGCTGAATAAATTAAAATTAACTAATTTTATGAATCATTTGACTGTAAGATCAAGAATGCAGAACCATATTCAAGTTACATTATGTATATTCAAGGAAATCAATAACTAACAGTTTTTAAATGTGTGATATTTTGTTGGTATGGTCAGAAAAAGTAATGTTACATAGACAATACAGTATTCTTGCAAGAACCTCAATAAAAAACCAACAAGCCACTATTATATTCTGATGTTGAAAATCCTAACAAACAATTTAGCACTGTTATTTAAATTTCAGTAGATTTGAGATACGTTTCCATTTGTGTTTAAATATATTATATTCCTGATTGATTTACAAATTTTAAAGTGCTAACTTGAACTTTAAAATAATTATATAATGTTAAACTAATTAACAGAAAGTAGAAATACATATAATAGTATTAGCAAAATAAAATTCTAAAATTAATATTGCAAAAGCTTTGACCAGATTCTGGGAAGGCTGTTTCCTTGCACTTTTATTAGGGGGGAGGGGGTAAAAAGAATTCAAATTTTGACAAACAGCACAATAACAACTGGTTGCTACAAATCAAGTGTAGATTTCTTCTTTCAATATTACATGTGTATGATAATTTTTAGCTATCCATATGCCTGAAAATACATTTGGGACATAGCTAAGAATAACATATGCTTCTTTAACATGGTAATTGATCCTGAATCATATTATCAATCCTATCATTATTTGCCCAAATAGCGGCAATAATAGTAGATCAAAGGATGTAAAATAACATTCCAACTCCTGAGTAGCATATTGAATAGCAAGTTACAGCCAATGCAATTAAGCATAGATTTTATGCAGCTGAAACATTTTTGTTGCTTTTAACCTCGTTTCAAGATCCAAGATTCAAGATTTCATGTTTAAAGCAACTGTCCATTAATTTACTAGGAAAAAATATTAAAAGTTAATATTCCTGAGGTTGTGTTAATTACTAATGCCAATTTCATTAACTTCCTTTAGGAAGGTGAATGGCTTAAAAGCCCATATTCATTTTATTGCTCTGAAATCTTCAATCAATATGAAATTTCAAAAGCAGCAACAGCATTTTCAACCAAATAATCCAAATGTGTAAATTAAATATACTACCAAGAATCATTATGAGACATTTGTTTTTTTTAATTTTACAAAAATAATAAAAAATGATTTCCTCAAAAGTAAATTGATTTGAAGTAATGTGGGAGGCCCAGTTTACTCAAGAAACCCCAACGTCTCAGATTTGGATGCTATTTTTAAAATGGCTTTTAGATTTTTATGGGTAAATTTGTCCAAATAATACCAGTGATAGTATTTTCTGTGTAGATATTGTAGCATTAATAGAAATGGATCCCTACACTAATTCACATTTTAATACTTGCCACAGCTTCAGTGGGATCAGGTAACAACTCTTGAGTTACTAAAGTACAGCTGAATTCTGAAGTGGTGAAGCTAAAACGCATGTCCAGCAATAAATCTTCTAAGATAGCTAAATCCATCTTTCTAAATAATTGTAGCTTGTTCATTAAAAGTCTCACAGAATGCCCTTAGCAAAAATATATATATTATTATTCAGCACTTGTAAAATCATTTAAAATGTAGTGCTGGAATAAATGGGAAGGTATCTCAATTCAATTCAATTTATTTGCTATCAAAGACCAGTGCAGATAATAATAATAAAAAAAAATTAAGACAGAGTTAAAATACATTTGTAAAATAACCTAAGTAGCACCTAATGTGTAAATCCACGATGCAGCCTATATCAAATTATAATGTAAACAGTAAATATCTAAAATTAAAACAAAGTAAAATTATTAATACCAGTGAAGTAGTAATATCTAAAATTTAAATGAATTATAGTTACAGGAATGTATTGCAAGATATTGAACCATCAATATTTTGGGTTGTTGTACAAACTTAGCTACATGCCCTTTAATAAAGACTATTTCATTTATAAGCAACATCTGGGCATCAGCCGAATCTAGGCGACCAGAATATCTACTAGTCAGAGAAAGTATAAATCTGCTTCAGATGTCTCCATAAAGGGAGCAACATTCTGTAGTTTCTGCCTCTCTGGAATCACAGAGGCAAAGTCTTTCAACCAATGGACCCTTTTTACATTTACCATCCAGTACTGCATTACAACTTTCTCTATGGCAATTGACATGGCTTAAGAAGGAAAGATTTGGCGTATCTTCCATACTGCCATCCAGGCAGATAACATACAAACCCTCTCCAACAGAATGTAATCATTTGCTTCTGGTTCCAATATGCAATGGGCATAGCAAATAAATGGTTATCAGGATGAAAATGGTAGGACATGTCAGACAGTGCCAATACCCATCTGACAATAGCACCATTATAACCAGAAATCAAAATTTCTTGCAGATTATGTTTTATTCATAATATGTTAATATAAAATAATACATGTTGGGTAACTGAAAATAACACAAAATCAAAAGGTTTGAAATTCTTAATGCAAACCCTTTTTAATCTCAATATTTTTCTCACTACGTCTACAAGGTACAGTTGTTTCATTGTAAAAGGCAAAAATATATAGTAGCTAATTTTTATTATTTTATTTTTTTACAGAAAGCAATTAATTTAGATGTAAGGTTTATAAAGATTTTTAATCAAAAACGACATCTTACTTCCATAAAGTTACTTTTGTGAATTTTTAAATTTTCTCAGATTCACAAAGTTCTAATATTATTAGAATTTCAAAGAGTTTTGGAAAAGAACACAAATGTTTTGGGATTGCAGTATGTAGAAGTCTGAAGCTATCTGTATTGTGAATGAAGTTGCTTCAAAGAGACCGATGTTAATGAGTTTTTACAAAATAAAAATAAAATTGAGCAAAGAATCAACATTGTTATTTGCTTCCAGGAATGTCAGCTCTGCTGGAGAAGAAGCTCGGAGAAGAATGAGAGAATGTGACGGACTTACTGATGCATTGCTTTATGTGATTCAGTCTGCTCTAGGAAGCAGTGAAATTGATAGCAAGGTTTGTTTAATTTTTCTACCCTAGATTTATATATTTATTTATTTATTTGCTTATTTATTTTTGCACTTTCAATCTCACAATTACTAAAGGTGGATTTCTACCATTTTGAAACAGGAAAAACATGAGCATTTTATTGTCACCCATGAAATAACCAAAGAAAACCAAAGAACTCCTAAACTCTTCCCAAAATGAAACAAATCCTGGCTCCTGCCCTTTTTGCTAAATAGCTCCAACTATTGCAGAAATTGTACCAAAAAAAGGTGATTCCCAGCTACTCAAGGCTTATTTTCCATGCTTTATATTTATAAAAATTGTAAGGCATGCAAAATGGGTTTTCTTATGTAATGGTAATGGCTAGATTGAGATACTTAATAAAGTCTTGCACTGTTTCATATGCATTCATTAGTTCATCTGTCAGAGTCACTTCAACACTGAGATCAGCAGCATATAAATGTAATAAATAAATAAAACATTTTCTCAAATTCACTTTAGAAAGGTGGAAGGTGGAAATGATAGTAGTTGTATTCAGTGCATCTAGAAGACATAGATTAAGACAGATGATCATTCTTCCTCCTGCAATTTGTTCAGCAATAAATGGAAGCATAGTGTAGTCCAGGGATGTGGAAATTCATTGAGGGCTGCATCAGGATTGTGTTTAACCTCGGGGCCAAGTGGGCATGACCAGATCGATATCACGTGTGTTGGGGGCACCTGTGTCAGAAAAAACAGAAGCACTCCCGAGCTCCATTTTCGCTGGCAGAGGCACTGCAGGCCAGTCCTTTGCTGTTTCCAGGCCCTATGGACTAGATCTAAGCACCTTGAGTTTGACACCCCTGGTGTAGTCTATAACTTTCTTTAATTTGTTATATTCAAATAATCATTGCCCTTGATTTTATTTCTGTACTTAAGTTGCTTAAGGAACAAGTTTGCACATTATTGAATGTATGAGTGCAAATCAAGGAAATGACGGTGAACAAACATCTCTCTTTTTGAATATTTTACAAATATATTCTAATAAGATTTGACAACACAATAAGCATCCTTATTGTAGATTTAGTGAGATGAAAAGGAAAGCATTTTTCTTTACTGCAGATATTGTCATTGAGTGATAAAAATGCAATAAATATGCACCTTACATTTCAATAAGAGCACACCTCATGGAGGGACTATATACCTCTGTGGAAATTTAGGAATTCCTTAAAATTTCCATTCTTAGTACCATAGAAAGAAACAAAATGGATTTTGTTGAATAAAACCACTTCAGATGGTGCTATTTTAAAGCACGTTGATGTCTTTTTCTATCTGGCTAGGTACTTCAAGAAACTTTGATCCATAGCAAGTGACTTTTTTTAGCTAATAAAATTGGAAGCATCTATCCAAAGCATGATAACCTGGCAGATCATTTTTACTGCTTATAAATTGATGGAGGATTACATGACATAATGTGATTTTCAAGCAAATCAATTATCTTGACAGATAAAATTTCATACAATAAATAATCTTCTTAGTGTGTGTTACTCTTCTCCATCAAAGATACACAAAACAACTCTGAAAAGCTCAACAGGTGCTGAGTAATAGCATTTAAATATAATGCAAAGGAATGCTACACAAAACTGGTATTTCCATTACTTTCATTCCTAATTGGCAGAGCTAAATTCCATTTATTTATTTATTTATTTTTATTGTGTGCATGAATGGTTGTAGAACTATCATTGAATAGATGACCATATGACCTCAAACGTTCTCTTCTGTATTTACCAACCAGAAATACAGAAGCAAATTCCACCCCTTGTACCTTAGGGAAATTAATAGAGTAGATTCTTGTAAGTAGTGCTAGTTAAATTCAAAATTGCTCACCTCACCTGCAAACCAGACTCTGTGAGTAAGTTCTTAGAACAACAAACTTTGAGGTTATAAACATTTCCTTCATCTTCAACCAGAGTTCCTATCTCCACTGGCTTCTATGATCCCTTCTTGAACATATCTGAGATTCTCTCTTATTTCCTGCAATCCCCAGGACTATTCAATTTCTTGACATCAGAAAAAGATTTGACAAACAACTAAAATCTGCTGAAACATTTGGTTCCAGTTGAGGCAAAACAAGGATGGGGCCTCTTGTGAGGCAACAATTGCAAGTTTCCTAACCTCTTGACATCAATCAAGATGTCACTCAAGTTCTTTAGGGTTCAAAGGAATACTTGCTTTCTACTTGACACTAACTACATTTCTACTTACTATACAAAGAAGCCAGTATCTTGTTTGTCTTTTAAGATTTTTCTTAGAAAATAACCTTAGTTATCAAACTTGGTTAAAATGTAATTGTGTCCTCTCTGGATCTATGATCTCTTCATTAACTAAAGATACACCTGAGGTCTTTCTACATCAAATCCCCCTATCAGAATTATACAGAGCATCTGATGAGACCTGTTGGCTTCCAATACCAATATGCTCAGAGGGAGGTGCCCATTTGACAGACCAATTATTAATTCAGTTCACATATATATTAAACACTCTTCCAGATAATTATCAGGCTTAACATTAATACATAAAAATAACAGATACCACAGCTAAGAAATTGTTTAACTGAAGTTACTTGAATGATCACACAATTCCCCTATACTATTCATACTTGGTACTAGGTGACCCCAATGTTCTTTTTAACATCTGCTCTTTTTAACGTCTGCTTTGTGGTGTGAGGAACTGAAGGGATTTGACTGAAATTGTGCCTATTTCTGCACAGCCTTTCTCCCATCAAATAATTGTATCATTTCAAGAGGGTGCCAAATGTAGTCTATGTAAGCATGTAGCTCAGTGGTGGGATTCAATTTTTTTAATACCAGTTCTGTGGGCGTGGCTTGGTGGGCGTGGCAGGGGAAGGATACTGTAAAATCTCCAATCAGATGCTGGTTCTCCGAACTACTTAAAATTTTCACTACCGGTTCTCCAGAACTGGTCAGAACCTGCTGAATACCACCTCTGATATAGCTGATATGTGTGAAACAGATGAAATAACATGTACATGCTGAAACTGTGAGTCAATATATCAAATATGAGTGGATAGGGATAATTTTTCAGTCTTGATTGAAGACCAATTTCCAATTTGAAATATTTTGTCTGATGTAATAATGGGGCAAAGATAAATTTTTGTCACCATTTATTTAAATATTTGACATATCTAATACAAAATTGAATGAATGCAATTTACACCCAATTAACTACGCACTTATTAAGATAAACTTAAAATGACATAAGATTATGCTCTAAATTTTCTTGTTAGTATGAGATGTTTCACCGCTCATCCAAGAAGCTTCAGCAGTCAAAGCAAGTTAGTTAAGCAGAGAGCCATTGGAATGTATCAACTCCTCAATGAAGGGGTTTCCTCCCCAAGTGCAAGCACAAGTTCATTGACATATTACAGTGCATTTGAGAAGGAAACTCCAAGTTTGGTGCATGAGAAGTTGGTACATTCCAATGACTTTCTGCCTAACTAACTTGATCTAACTGATGAAGCTGCTTGGATAAACAGCGAAACATCTCAAACTAAGAATAAAAATAAGACCAGTTTCCATGATTCAACCTTCAGACAACTTTTCCTAGATGATTGAGAACCTTCATTGACATACTGCAACATACTTTGGGGAGGAAACCCCTGAAGTTGGTGCAGGAGGAGTTGGTACTTCCAACAACTTTCTGCCTGACTAACTTTCTCTAACTGATGAAGCTCTTGGATGAACAACAAAATGTCTCAAACTAGTAAGAAAAATAAGTCCAGCAGTCCTGACTTCAGACAACTTTACCTGGATAACTGAGAATCTTCATAGACATTATGCTCTAAACTTCCTGTCTGTTCTTACAACTAGGGAGGTGAAATTTATTTGTGTATTATTTCTGCAGAATTGCCTAAATTGGAGTCATAAATTCTTACCTGATTAATTGACCAGGATAGTAAGAGTATTAAAAAATAGAAACCTGCAAGCAGCACCATGAGGAGATTATAGGAGGTAGGAATCAGACCCTGCAGTGCTAATTCTGCCAGATTTAAGCATAGATGTAGATTATTTGAGGAAATCCTAATAGAAACCCCAAGAAATCATCTGTGGTTTTTTAAAGGCAGTTTTAATGAGTTGCAAAGGAGAGAATCAATAGTTTCTATTGTATTTTATCTTACGCATGATAAGACTTGTAGTTTATTTGTTCTTTTTTTCAATTCTTAAAATTCAAAGGGGAGTGAATTTGCAAGCAAGGAGTAAATGACCTATAATCCTTCATAAGATTATTCTAACACCTAACCATTTTAAGTTGAATCATAAATTGTTTTAAATGAAAAGTAAAAAAAAAAAAACTTAAGAAGTTAGGTTTGCTCACAAGTTTACTACATTTCGGCATGGATTCCCTAAGATTCCTATGTGATATTTCTATCAGTTTTGGAGAGAATTTAAATTGCAGATCCATTATTTTCACCAGAGGGAATGATAGATGATCCTTTGATACACATGAGGGTATTCCTTTCTTTTCTTTTTTTGGAACTCCATATGTGAAACCTGTTTAACACATTTTATCTTTGGTTTTGTTCTCTTTCAATATTCACATTCCTGTTCCATCCAGACGGTGACTTTATTCCCTCAAAGAAATATAATTTGCTTTATTTAAATTCTTCACTGAAGTAACAATGATTTTCATACAGCAAGCTGCATATTTGAAAATATGCACATACACAGAGAGAAAAAACCCTTCCTGGAATAAAAGTGTATTTTTTAATAGGAAAACTAGCCTGTGCCATGATAGGGTATTTCAGCTAGCACAAGGATATAAAGAAAACTGATAACTTTTCTGATGAATATGAGCATTCTAAATTTATTATAATTTATTCATTTTCTCATTCTTTCAGACCGTTGAAAACTGTGTGTGCATTTTAAGGAACCTCTCATATAGACTCGCTGCAGAAACATCTCAGGGACAGCAAATGGGGACTGATGAACTTGATGGTTTACTTTGTGGTGATGCCAATGGGAAAGATGCTGAAAGTTCTGGATGCTGGGGCAAGAAAAAGAAGAAAAAGAAATCTCAAGATCAGGTACATGCACTTAGCTATAATTGATTTGATTTTGTGTGGCCCAACACCGGAATGATTTTGGATAGCTGACAATAATAGTAGTAATAGCAATAATAGTATTTCCTACAACCAAATAATGCAGTACAATAAAGTCGAAAATAATTTTGCTTTCTTCAAAGAAACAAAACTTCTGTTAAATATATTAAAACAAGGTTAATTCTGCATAAATTTTAACTGTTAAAATAAGTGAAAGCTAGAGAATGTAACTTCAACTGACTGATCTAAGAGGAACTGTTAGGGGTTCTTTTTACTTATTAACTCTTCACTTACTATAATAGTATTATTTGTACTCTAATATGAAGTAAATAATGGTAATGTGAAGAATTGTTTTATTAGATATTGCTATTTAGCATCTGTATAAATAATAATTACAGACAATTTCATGTAAAATTACATTATTTGGAAAATTTCTTGATTATTTTTTAAGGCACTTTTAAAATAATACAGATGGTATACATATTTTTTTTCTTTCCTGGGTGTCAAGGAATATACACAGAAAAAAATTGAGGTTGCTAGGTAACACAGAATCTAGAGAATATACTTGCACAATCACCTGATCCAAAGTTTTTGTTTCTGAAGTATCTTATTAACCACAACCTAGGAACCTAAAGCTACAATCTAGGTAATTTTACTGTAATGAGTTTGCTGTAAAGAGATAATGGATTCCCTTTAGATTTATTTAAGAATATTATGAGTTAGAAAATTATATGTAGGTTTATGATATTTGTAACAAATTTCCTTATGAAAATGTATTTATGCACTGAGAACAAGAAAAAATGGTGAAACATACATGTTCCATTGTAAATTATATTAAATTATAAATTCAAATTCTATTACATTATATTAAATAATATGATTTCTACATTGATGGTAAAATTCTGTTGTAGGTTATCTAGCCCATTAAAGCTTTTATTGTAATAAGACAGACCTGAAGGTGCTACAAGATACAGTTTGATTATATGATTTGTCTTTTTAGTATTTTATGTAATTTGGAAATTGCCTTCTAAAGTTGATTTTCTAGCTGTGTGGTTTTACTCATTAAGCTGCCTTGAATTCATTTGGTCTAAATCTAGGTAAACCACCTTAAGATTGCAACCTATAATTGTTTCTTTGAAGGTACAATATTCTGATCCTCTTATTGTATACCTTAACATTTCTGTATGGTTGAATGACTATATTCAGATAAAACTTCCATATTCTACAATTATTTTTCACCAGAACAGAATGAAGACTTTGCCTTAGCTTTGCCTTGTCCATCAAAGTGACGGGTTTAATATCATTTTCTACAAATAAGTTGTGCAGAGAACTATGCATGTAATTTCACATTTTTGTTCATTGGACTGTTATACAGCATGAAGATAAATTATTCCAGCTTCAGACTTTAGATTAGGATAGTGATAGAAACTCAAAGAGCTTTTAGATTGATGGTTGATACTTTAATAATATAATTTAGTTTTCTGACTTTATTTTAACCATGGTCATATTTTTCAATTTGTACTCCAAAATTCATGTATGACTTTAATCCAGAAGGTAGTATTTAATCAGCATGCAGAGACTTGTGACTGTGACACCCATAATCTCTTGATTCCTGGTAGCATCTGAATTAGTAGATTATTTAGACTGTGACAAATATTACAGAACCATTCTTACGTTTCGTCAAAGTCCACTTTATATTATAATTCTAATGGCCTGTTAGTGTGTCACTTTAATATTCTCAGAGAACTGCAGCTGTCTGACAGATGAAAAACAATTTGAGGGGGGAAATTGCAATTTTGCATAAAGTGTATATAAATTAATCTTATGCATGATTGCACATTTGAAATAAATTATTATGACATAAATTTAAAAAAATATTGCCATCTGTGGAAGATGATTAGTCGAGCTGTGTGTCCCCTTGGTATCGTTTGCTATCCTGATGCTCACTGGACACTGTAAGTAGCTCTTGCAGTGTATTGGGGAGCCAGTTTGGTGTACTGGTTTACAACTCCAGGCTAGAAACTGGAAGACTTTTGCCTTTGGAAAGAACTTCATTCAATTACCTTTGCTGTGTTATGTTAGCAGGTCAAAATGGCAGTGTGCCAGGAAATTCCTAATAAACTGTCCAAGGTGATAAATCATATAATCTAATTTTAAAAAGGGGAAACATTGGAACCAATCACATTAAACTTAAACCTGATGGGGCATTTAACCAGATTAAGGTTGACAGTAATAATTTAACAAAGTAATAATTAACAAAGGAGATAGCTCTCCTCCCCTGCCCCCTCCCCTATCTGATCCTTATGCAGAACTGGAAACACAGAGCCCATTTATTTTCACAATAGTTCTAAACGTTTCAGAAAGTTTAAAATTACTAGAGCAAATTATATTGAAAAGAAATGAAGTATCAAAAATATCAGTATTTCTCATTAATTTAGCAAAAAAACCAACAACACCCAGTGTCTTAAATTTTATGAATCAGAACCACAGTAGCAAAATATAAACAGCATAAGTCATGAGTGACCACAGTCATTCTAAGAAAGGCGTCCTCGGTATAGTATATTGTTCATAAGACCTTTGTTTTATATCAGACCATTCCAGTCAATTAATAGATTGATTTATTTAATAATCTCTTGTATTCAAGAAATACTCAAGTGATATTTTAAGATTTAGGTTTTTTTTCCCAAGTTATTGTTGGCAAAGCAGAGAAAATTCAGGGAACTCCTCATTGTAGAATCAGAGAAACAGAAGAGGCTGTTCAAGCATTGAGTCCAATTCCCTGTACAGTGCACAAAGGTGATGTAAAATATCCACCTATCTGGATACATCTGATAAAGGGTAGACCGTTTGTTTGTCACCCTGTCAACCTGTTTTGGCTGCAAGAAACTTTTTTCTATGGTTTCTCTCTTGAGACAAATCTCAAACTAGTTCAGTTTTACAAAAAACAATAAAATAATAAAATTGTCTAAAGATACCATTACTCTCCCCAAAATATGTTTTTATGAAAAAAGAATTGGCCCTTTTTTAGATTTCTGGATTTTTGCATATCTTTACACACAGAATTGGGACCAAAGCTTTATATGTATCCCGCAGATGTTTTAAAAAAGCAAGAAAAAAATAACTGCAATGTTTAGCATTTGTTTTATGGTGATGTCGACACAGAAGCTGCCACTGTGAAAATTTAATCACTCCACTCATTCAATCAGTTCAATGTAAGAGATAATTAGAGTAAGTTATTTCATTTAACAAACAATATAAATCTTTAAAATATTAGCTTCCAGATAGTGGTGGAATTCAACAGGTTCGCACCTATTCTCGCGAACTTGTTAACTTTCTAAGCAGTTCAGAGAACCAATTGTTGGAAGAACTCTCCTTTTGTTTTTTTCTACTTTACATGGCTAATCCTGTAAGGAAGGCAGGAAGGAAACATTCTGGTGTTGTTTCTAGCCTAATCTTTATTGCTCTGCTTCCAGAAGCTTCCTCTCAGTTAACCCATATAACAGCTAAAGTTTCTTGGCAGTACACACAGACTTACTGTGGCCTGCGCTCTGGAGGGTTTTTTTTCCCCTTTGCTGGGGAAGGGTTGTTCCTTCCCCTTGGGAAGGGTTGTTTTAAGCTTTTTATACCACTGTTGGGAGGAAATACTCCCCTGTTGTAGTCCTCCCAGCCAGGATGCAACTATCAGGACTTTAAAGAAATAATTGAATAATGAAGCAGAGCTGCTGGAAAGAAGCTTTTAATGACAAGGAACCAAGATGAGTGACATTCAGCAAGGCTTCTTGGCTAGCTAGAAAGTTTGACATTCAAATGTGAGTTTACATACCCTTTCTGAGTTTTGGTCTAAAACTGGTTTTTGGTTAAGTTTAATTCTGTGCTTGGTGAGGTTTAATCCTGTGTTTATGATGGCATAATTTTCCCTATTCAACTTTGTTTGGAAGGGAAAATGTTAATCTCTGTTTCTGAAAAGAAGCAGGGTTCAGAAATCTGGCTAGTTCTTGTGCCTATTTGTTCTGGTAATTGGTTTAACATGCTTTAGTTTTAAAAAGATTTAAACTGTTGTGATTTAATTACTTGCATTGTGTTTGAATTTTTTCCTGCCTCATTATTTCTTTTTCTATCTGGGGAGAGAGTCTTCCTTCACTGCTTTAGTGGTTTCTGGCACTGTCCTTTTGGGGTATACTTCCAAGAGGCAGGATGCAAGCTTGGCACTGATTTTTTTACTGTCTTTCTGGGGGGCATGTGATCTTTCCTTAAATCTGGATGATTTGTTTAGGATATCTTGTGAGGTGAGTGAGACCAGCTGGTATCTTTAAGTGGTGCAAATGGATCTAAGGATTGCTTCTTCTGGGTGTGCTCTTTCTGGAGATCTCTACTAAAGGGTTTCACTTTATGAGCAAGAGTTGGCTGTTGATAGTTATAATTTCATTTAAACGATTTTAATTCCTCAAGGTACTCTGGCACCCTGCCTGATTTGTAACTCCGAGTTGCAGGTATTGCTGATAAAAAGGAATGTATTCAGAGAGAATGGTTTAGGTTTCTGTGGTGTCTGTGGCTATCATTGATCTTCAGTGTATATTTCCCGATTTCTAATCTAATGATAATGATTTAATGATAGTATTTAGCTTTTTGCAAGCAAAGAAGCTTTTTGTATTTTTGTACAGGTAATACTTCTCTTACAACAGTTCATTTAGTGACCATTCAAAGTTACAATAGCACTGAAAAAAGTGACTTATGACTGTTTTTCACATATACAACTGTTGCAGCATCCTTATGATCACAAAAGGCTGGGAGAGGCGAAGCATCCCTTGATGTGAGTGATGTCGAGTTGGCCACACCCACCCAGTCACATGACCACCCAGCCACACTTACCCAGCTGGTCATTAGGGCAGAGAACCAGTTGTTAAATTATTTGAATCCCACCACTGCATCTGAAGAGAATAAATGAAATGAATAATGAACAGAATGAATAATAAAGTATTAATGAT